TTTTGAGACGAGAAAGATGATTCCACTGTTTAAAAACGAAAAAAATTTCAACCCGCCAATTTGAAAAATGTATTATATATCTATTGCATTTTTTATAATTTGCTTGCAGCTGTGCGTTCTTAACACAATTTTATATCCCTCGAACAAAAGTCAGTTTTAGTGCTATTCAAGACCTTTAATTTGAGCCAAGGTAGAAGTCTCTAGGCCCTTTGAGAGCTAAATTATTACGATTCTGAAGTTCAACTCCGAAATTTCATTCGACATTTTACGCAATTTTTTTTTTTAATTTCGGAGTAAAAACTAGTACTGCGGCTTCGAAGTTTGGTTTAAAATTGTTATAACTGGGCTCTCAGAGGGCCTAAAGGCTTCAACCTTGGCTCTAATTAAAGGTCTAGAATTGCACTAATGTTCGATATAAAATTGAGTGAAGGATGCACAGCTGCATGCAAATAGAAGAAAATGCAATAAATAATGCATCCTTTAAATTAAGGTGTTCAAATTTTTTTTTCCAATCTCGTGTCACGGTGTTTGTGGTCGAACTCCTCCACAACGGCTCGACCGATCCTCATTAAATTGTTTGTGTATATTTGCTAGGTTTGAGAATCGGACGTAAAGTATATTTCATACCGCTAAGTGAAGGGGGCATATTTTATATGAGAATTGAAGTCGGTTATTTTTTCTAAAAATTACTTGTTTTTCTTAATCAGTTTGCGGTATGGAGAATCTTATACGGTTGACAAACGGGCTCGCCTTTATTTGCATAAACAGCCTTTATTTGCTTTGACTCATGCATTTTCCTCTTTAAAATGCGCATAAGCAGCCGAACAAATGCACGAGATTTTTGGGGATTACCTCGGATCCGGGGAATTTTCAATGATAACACTGGTAAAAACGGCCAGCCATTGTCTTTTGTACAAATAAGCAAACAAAGCAGCCGAGGGGTGAGAGTTGCGGGCTATAAACCTGTAGCTGTCAGGTTCGATCCTCGGTTGGAGCGATTGCGAAAATTTTTTTGTTTTTATTATTTATTTTATATTTTTTTATTTAATTTAATTTAAACATTTAATTTTACTTTATTTTATCTTCATTTGCTTTATTTTATATCACATTTTTTATTTTAATATTAGTTAATATAAATTTTTAGAGTATAATTTTATTAAAAAGTCAACAACGACTAACTGAAAGCAACGTAAAAAATATAGAACTTATAAAAAAAAGAATGAAAACGAAATAAATGAAAATTCGACTGGCCGTGGGACTCGAACTCGCGACCTTGCGGCTCGTTTATCCGCATTACTGCCGTCTGTAAAGGTAAAATTATTAAAGCTTTATCACAGCGCACGCGTACGTACCTTCATTTAATTTTGTTCAAACTTTCAGGAATTAAAACACAACAAAAAAGCTAAGAAGGTTTTGTTCCAGGATGTCTTGATTCGTATGCCTTTGTAGGCGTGACTGCTGCCTGAAATTCGAGAAAATGCAACTCAATCCATGTCATTGATGTGGATATCAGTAGAAGGGCCTTCAAACATGCCAACTAACGGGATCTTTTGTGTTTATAAAATATAAATATGTCAACGTTATCGCCTGGAAACCCCACATTAATTATTAAAATTTGATATTAAACACACAAAATTTTTATTTTTATTTTTTTTAATACGTCTTACGTTTCGTTACGGAGGCTATGCTCAAATGTGTTTATTTTATTTAAATATATGGGCATAAATGATTTTCCATACAAAATCACTTCATCATTTTGCAAACACGTGCATGCGCTGGAAGTGAGATAAGGATACATAAAGTATGAGTTTCTGTAGGTATTTCGACTTTTGAGTAACAGATGGCACAATATTTATAACCTATGTATGTAAATACATACATACGTACATATCGTCGCTTGGGTAAAAGATTGTCGTACGTTAATTTCGGCAGGTTGTGGGAAAACGCGATTGAAGTTTGGGTTGCCATTTCTCAAAAACGCTGAGACAGATTTTTTCCAAAGTCTCTGAAAATGTTACTAGTTCACAAAATTTTTAAATTATTTAATTTTTAATGTTTATTGTTAATTAGTTTTGAGTTTATGAAGGATTTTCTGAAGTAAAATTTTGTGGAAAGCGTTATTTGTCCACAATTTGGTAGCCACTTTGTATGAAATACGACACAATGTGACAGCGAAAAGTTTTCCGTCATATCAGATCTGTACCGTTCGTTCGATTTTACAAAACGAGGTATCAAATTAAAGGGTTTGGCCTGTGGATGTGCGATTTCTTATTTTTTCATAAAGAGTTGCCACCTGATAAAAAATTCAATTCAAATTATTTTTAAGTTAAATCAGTTTTTTTTTTTTTAGTTTTGAAAAGGCTTTATTTCTTAATTATACATATGTAGGAGGGTTGCCACCTGTTTCAAAAAGCAAATTCAACTTAAATGAAGGCAGAAAGTTGAAATGTACATATATCTTGATATGGATGTCAGACGAAAGAGGTTGTGGTTTGAAGATATTTTGCAGAGGGTTGCCACCTTGTTACAAAGTTAGGCTCACTATAAGCAATCAGTTGAATAAATTACCTCAAAGTGAATATAAATCAAAATTGCTTTGAAAAACCTTTATTTCCAAACTGGATGTAGGAGGGTTGCCCCCTGATTTTATATATAAATTCAATTTGAATTAAGAGTATTACATAATTTAAATATGTATCACAAGACAAGCTTCCGACGAAAAACGTTTAACGAGGGTTTAGTCTAAAAAATAATTTTAACAGGATTGCCATCTGTTTGAAAAGTCGAATTAGATTATATGAAATATTGGCATCAAACAAAGGAGTACTAAGAAATATTTAGTTTAAGCATTTATAACATTAAAGCAGGTTTAGACCTGTGTAAAAAGTTAATCTCAAGTTATTTAACAAGTCAAATGAATTATCAAAGTTTGGGTATAGATTGACATGCGTTAGAAATGTTTTGAATGAAGGTGGTAAGATATTAGCTTGAACATTTAAGATATTTAAGAGTGTTGCCACCTGTTTAAAAAGGAAACCCCGAATCATATAATACGTTAAAGCAAATATTAAAATAATGGGTATAAAATGAAATGGCTTTAAAAAGGCTTTATTTCTGAAATGTTTAGGAGCGTTGTCACGTTTTTAAAAAATAAAATTTAACTTAATTCATCAGGCACATGAAATATGTAGGTATCACAACATCATACGCAAGAGATTTGTTTATTTCTTACACATATGTAATACTCCTATATTGGCAGTAAGAGCTAGTACCGTCCGAAAACACTACAGTACAGATATATCAATAAACACGTACGGAAGAAAAGGAACACATACGTTTAAACATGTACACAACACATATACAAAAACGGCACTCAAGTACACAATACATTGACAAAAACGGAACTAGACTGTCTCGCTTTGATTTCGGAATGCTTACACATTGAGAAGTTAGCTTACTGCCAATAGGTTCATTCCTTATCTTTTTGGCCTAAAATCTGAAAAGTGTCAAAATGCCAGAGCGTAAGCAAAATGCGCTCACTAAAAGAGAATAACAGGAAAAGTAAAGGAACGCAAAAAACCAAATTTTTAGTCCAAAGAATGGCAACAACAAAACTAACGTCAAATAAGAACAGAAATGTATGTACAAAACACATTCACACAAGCACAAGCACAATAAACACTTGCTATATCAATTATTTTTTGCCTTCTTCCAATTTCAATTCATTTCTTTTACTTTTTAGATTATTCTCACTTTTAGCGTATTCTTTAATTTCCGTTAATTTAAATTCAGTTGAGTTTGACACTTTTCAGGATTTTGCCAGAAAAAATTCTTCTGACTAAATCTGACTACTTCGGACTGATGAGAGTCACTCTCACTGACTGTTGCTCTCATTTTTGCTGTCATTTCCGAGTTAAGGAACGCTTTTTGGACTAAATCTGACTACTTCGGACTTTTTCTGACTATTTCTGGGAGATAAGGAACGCTCCTAATATAGAAGTATGTATTACATATATGATTTCTTAATATATTTAGGAGGGTTGCCAGCTGTTTCAGCCGTCTTAGCTAACTTACATGAACGAAAGACACAAGATCACGCGGGAAGGAAAGAACGAAAAGTTATTTTCTAGCTGCCGAAATCTCGACGCCATCTTTGTTGTAAGAAGTAAACAACGAAGAGAACGGAGAAAACCGCGAAATTGTTGAACGCATGAAAAATCATTTTTATTATGCAAATTCTTCTATAAATCATGTCGTTGTGTTAAATTATTCTTTATCTTATGTGTACACACGTTGTCACAGGCGAAAATGAAGAAAATTGCAGTAAAAAGCCACCACCAAATTGTAAACAACGAAGAAATGTAAACAAACGGCTAATGTCAAAATCGTTCAACTTTTTTCCTAAATACGATTCTAACGGGCTAGTCTCCTGCCCGCGTGATCTTGTCTTTTTGGTTCATGGCTAACTTATGCACAAATCCGAAGACGAAGGTAATGTGAAGACGAAGAATGCTTATACGGGGACCTAGGCTAGTATAAAAACCAATACAATTTTCTGCAGTATGAGAGAAAATAAAAATAAATCGAAGTAGTGATATGCGTCATGGCAGCTATCTATTTATAAGCTGATGGTACATATTATTGAAGTTAATGTGGATCTACTTCTCTATTGCTAATTCAAATTAAAACGAGTATTTCATGTACCGTTTTTATCTTGGACGTGATCTTAATAATATTACGTATTCTACGTTTAATTTTAGCGGCTTTGGCTCCGACACAGCCTGCAGGTCAAGACGAAGACGCTGGACTGATCCTTTTTTTTTAATTTGATTAGGTGCCTATGATGAAATGAAGCAAGTCCTTCGTTTCTGCGGTAATAATATAGAACCAGTCAAAACTTACCTGATCATCTTACTACATATACTTTCCAAAGAATTGATAATGGTAGTAATATTATATGTATATCAGCATAGTCTTTGCATGCATTAATTAACTATGTATTTGGTCTTCTCTAAATTTCGACAATTTTATGTTTTATTTATTTTAGCTTTCATCAATTTTCGTTTTGCGTGTAAAATATTGTTTTAAAGTTAGGCTTTTCATTTAAGAAAAAATTATATGATAATTAATATTACTTGTATAACAATACGAAAATTATCATAAGTTGTTAAAAAAGAAGTGAATGTTATTATTAAAATAAGAATTAATACCCTTGGGAGAGAATTACAGTATTTTTTCTCTGCGGGTCTTGAACATTGTCCTCCTGTAAAGGATGTTTTAATTATCAGCCAAATTCTTTATAAAAAATGTGTTGACAAAATTAGACTTACCTTTTTGCCAATTAATGATTTATGAATATGTGGAATGACACCACCACCAGCAATGGTAGCTTTAATCAGACTATCCAATTCTTCGTCACCACGAATAGCCAACTGCAAATGACGCGGCGTGATACGTTTAACTTTAAGATCCTTTGAGGCGTTGCCTGCCAACTCGAGCACCTGAAAAAAATCAAATCAAAAAAAAGTTGAATACGGTGTTGTAATCGTATTGTATTTTATGACGGATTTATCACCATGAGTAGGCGCTAATGGAACCATGTAAGCCTTTTTACAAGCTTTATTTAACTTGCTCTGTATGTATGTATGAATGTTTGTTAGGGGCAAATCTTGCAATCAATTTTTTACCAACTTTCGAAAGACCTAGGGACTTGAAACTTCACAGTTGGCTCAGAACCCGATGACAATACAATACGAAGGATGAGTTAATCCGATAGGTGGCGCAGGAATCGAAATATTTGAAAAACCCGTATTTATAGCCCGATTTGGTTGATATTTAGAACGTATATGTATTTACGATAATGCGCCGAGACGATATACTTGGTTAACCAGTATCTATGGTCCGATGTCGTTCATATTTAGAAAGCTTGCTTTAAAATTATTTGTTTTTTCCACAATTCACTTATTTTAATATTAACCGCATACAACTTGAATATACCATGACTGACTTAATCGAATTTAAAATCAAAAAAGTTTTTCTACGATTATTAAAACCCAGTGTAAGGAAGAAATTTTGTTCCTCGAACGCTTGATGTAGGTAGTCTTTCATAAAAAATAACAACGTCGCATTAATTGTCGCTTGAATACCCACGTTACGAACATATTGGTCATGATATTTTGGTGTCATGACACTCCATATCTACATATCTACATAAATATGCACTTTTAATAATATAACGAAGTAGTTCAAAATTTCAATATTATGGGAAAACGCAATCGAAAGTTGTATCAATTCATACAGTTGGTATACAAAAAGACAGATGGCAAGAAACATATCTTCGCCATATTTGGGAAGTATCTTTTAAAACTGAACGTATTCTACTCATCAAGGCTTATTAATTGCATAATTGCAGACTGCAAGAAATAAATAAATAAAATTGTGGTTCATCAATTGAGACATATGTATGTATGTACAGTGAATCGAAGAAAAACTGGGGCGCGACATTTTAGCAATGTTTATTATTTTCATATGAAAGTATAAGTGATTATTTAACAAACACAATATAGATCCAAATTTCAAACTTCTTGCAAAAATTTTGAAATTATGAAAGTTTGATCAAAATTTATAATTTCCCCATCAGCATCTTTAGACAACATTTTGGAATGCAATTACGTAGCTCGTTAAATTTTAATATACATACATATGTAGTAAAGAGCAAATTTTGAAGTATCTAGTGTTGGCGGTGTTCCGCACTTTTTTTATATAAAAAAATCTTCGAACATACTTTATATGGAAAAAATGCGAAACACGAAAACAAAAAAAAAAGTTGCCCAAAATCAACGGTAAGTCCTTGCTACCCAAAAATGTCTCTTCATTGTACTAAAATTTAATAAGCTACAAAACTGCATACCAAGAATTTATAGTGACTCAAACAAATGACTACTCGCTGTTTTTTTAATATTCGTAATATTTTTCCAGTTAAATTTTTTTTTTATTTTATATAAAAATATCGTCTAAGCTTTAACCATAACAGTGTAACATCACAGTTTCAAACTGTATACAAAATTTAGAAAATGCAACAAGTTTTCATCAAAATTTCAACATTTCATTCTTAATTTTTAAGAAAATTTGTGGGTATGCAGTTTTATAGCCCACACAATTTTAGTCTAATGAAATATGAGTGTTTTTACTCTCTAGAAAATATTTATGTAGGCCCTTATTATGAGCTGCATTCGATTTTCGATCTTCGCTGGCTATCGAAGATCGAAGATCGAAAGTGAAATTCGTATTATGAGCTATGCAAGCGTGTCGAAATTTTCGTTGAGTATCGAATTTTCTGTCGAACAGAATTTAGCTTTCGATGGTGTAGCGAAGTGTTAGAAAATTGTGAAAAATGTATGATTTTGTATATGTTTTCTTACATTTTGGCGGCTAGACACTAATTTTAAACAATTTTTATTAATTTCATGCAGTTCTAACATCGTGAATACTAAACACAAGCTCGAAAGGCTGGTTTTACTTGTGAAAGAAAATCCAATACTCTGTTGGCACGATCTCTGAGAACAAAATCGTAGCGCTGTTGATAGTTTTAAAATATTTTAAATAGATTTGGCTCACAAACGCCTCTTTAGATGGTCGGAACTTTTTAATGAATCCGTAGACAAATTTCTTAAATATATTTTATATCAAAATATATTCGAAAGGCTAATAAACTTAAACTCTCTTAAACATTAGCTACTCCTGGCCAGTTTACTAAGCTCTCATCCTCTGACGAATCGTTGAACCAGAACTCGTTGTACTCATTTTACTACGTTTTTATAAACTTGCTTTCTTTTTTACTTCATTTTAATTAGAACAAATTTACATAAATATGTATAAGCACACTATTTAGTTTGCTCGATTTGTAAACAAAGCTTCTCAGCGGTGAAAAATATACTATTGTGAACAACCTAAACGAGCGGAATTCACAATAGCGCTATTCTTCATCGAATGAACGCCATAATACCAAATGAAAATTCGTTCGCTCAGCACTTTCGACCACAGTCGAAAATCGAACGCAACTCATAATAGGGGCCGTAATCTCACATACGAGATTTTGCATTATTTTGATACGCAGTTTTGTATTTTAACTGTCTAACCAGAATGGTGAGGCTATGGTATGTAGAAAGAGCTGTCGAAGAGTTAAAATATTCTAAATGCTCTAAACTGTCCGCAATATGTAACTGTGGTTTTGGTGTATTATTTTTGATGTAGCTAGCTAATTAGCTTATGGCTGTGGTACTACATTCTGTTTAGCCATTAAATGAGGATATGTATATTCAGTACTTTCAATAAATCGAACTTGTTTATAGTACATTTGTAAAGTACATACATACATATTTATTTAAGATTCTTTTAAATATATTGAACGTATTTGTTTTCTTGTTTGCAGTTGTAAACATAACCGTATAAAAAATTTTAACTTTAATTAAAAAATAAAGCAGTCCACTTAATCAATTGTTTACAAAGGTAAAACGCTGAATCCTAATCAATATTTAGGAAATTTGGGTACAAAAGAGCAAACCAAAAATAAAAATGGCGGGCGAATGACGCTAAAAAACAAAACTCTAAAATACGCTGACATTACAGGCTGCGCCAAGAGTACAGCTCGCACGAACACAAATAAAAATACATGAATACAAACAAAAAATGTTGCTTTTTTATATACATATACGCGCCCAAAGATAAATTTAAATGCATGACATAGGGGAGAAGAAAATTGGCGGTTTACGCAGCCATTTTCATGGATCGAGTTTTCCACATTTGATTCAACTTACTTCAGCAGTCAAGTATTCCAAAATTGCAGCAGAATATACGGCAGCCGTTGCACCGACGCGGCCATGCGATGTGGTGCGGCTCTTTAAATGACGATGTATACGGCCAACAGGGAACTAAAATAGGAAGATTATTAGCAAATATGAAAAAAATTCTAATAAACAAATTGTAAAATATGTATATGCAATAAAACTACATTTGTACAACGTAATACTACTCTAAACGCAAGCAAACAAAAAAGGCGCGAAAACTAGCTGCAATCGTAGTACAGCCGCTGCAATTTGTATGCTTACCTGAAGACCCGCTCGTGCTGAACGAGATACTGCCTTCGCCTTGGCTTTACCAGAATCTTTACCTGCTTTACCACCAGCCTTTAAAGAAATAACATAAAGTTTTGAAAATTAGAAGTTGCGCCAAAATCGCCGGAAAACGCTGGCCAATGTGAGGTTAGACACGAACATTTAATAAAAGAATACGTGGTGTAATCACCCAAAGCTATTCCTTTCAAGAACTATCGTGTAGTCGATAGCAATACGAATTTACAAAATATTAAGTTGCATCTTTCAATTTCCATCTCAACATTTCACAATGTCCCATGTACATTGCAGCACGCGCACTCACAATTGCGACGTCCATTAGCCAGCGCCAGCATTTTAAAGAGATTTAACGTTTAAATTTGCACAATTTACCATTTTATTTATTCTATATCTTTATTCAAAAGCAAACCGAAATAGCAACAAATTTTCAGAACACCTTTGGAATGAATTAACACTCAATCTGTAATTTTTCTCAAATTTTCCTTGCACGACAATTTTTTTGCTTTGAACAGAGGAACGTCAAGTCCGAATACCACGAAGTTTTTTTCACGAATGCCGCGTTCGCGCAAAGCAAAACACTTCGTGGCGTTCAACGAACACTTTCAGCCTCAGGGTTGCAATTCTGATCTGAAATGCCCAAATTATACGTTTTGAAGATCCCCAATTTTGTATTGGTATTCACAATTGTAGCGATTGCAACATTTAATTGAAGTAATTTGTTAAAACCTTTTTGCGTTCTCTACCGCTATAAATCGTTGTTAACTTGTTATTAACCAACTAACATAGAAGCATCAGCATCTACATATATATATGTACATGCATACATTTATATACCCATGAACCAACGGCTACAGATCACGCAATCCGCCATCGTTGTATTTTAATCGAATTTCATAAAAAAAATTTCGTAGCGTTTTTGGGTATTCCCTTTTGTTTACATCGTCTTCTATCGCTTCGGGATGCCTTTTTTTAGCAATTTGATGTGTTTTTTGAGCAATTTTCATTTAAATTTTGATTTTTTACAAATTTATGATATAGAATGAAGAATATATGATATAGTCAAGTTTTTCGTGATTGGAACAAGTTTGTGCGTTTGTTTGGTCTGGCGAAAGGCCTAAATTTTCGTGAAATGTGGGTGCAAGTTTGCGGCCAGAACGTTGGCATTGAAAAATTGACCCGTTGTAATGATATGCGATTGTAAAACACATGAAAACTATATTTTATGAACTTTTTTTGCTAATTGTCATCAAGTTTCGCTTTGTATATTTTATAATAGGTTTGTTCCACAAGCTACTCGAAGTCACTTCGAGTTACACATATGCGTTCCACAAGTAAGTTTTAGAGTTTTGTTTGATATACGCTGACAGTTTGAACTTTGCTCGAGTTGTTCTACAAGTAGCTTGTGGAACAAACCTAATAAATACCAATTTAATCGAACCCAAACATGAACCAAAAATACAAGATCACGCCCTCTTCTTAGTAGACCGTTATAATCGCATTTAGGAAAAAAGTTGGGCAACTTTGACATTAGCCGTTTGTTTACATTTTTGGTGGTGGCTTTTTACTGCAATTTTCTTAATTGTTTTTGTTCTCTTCGTTGTTTACTTTTTCCAACAAAGATGGCGTCGAGATTTCAACAGCTAGAAAATAACTTTTTTCTTTCTTTCGGGAAGGCGTAATCTTGTGTCTTTCGTTCATGGAACAAAATCACCGCGCCTTTTTCGTTTTCTTTGTTTGTTTATATTCTTAGATAGATGTCAAAAACGCTCAGAAATTTAATTTTTCACTCTTTTCCGATTGCGTGATCTTGTTTGTTGGTTCTTGATATATATCTACATGCGGCTATATCCCTATCACTTAAAAATACATTTCCCGTGGAGAAAGACACTCAGTTTTTCAGTGCAGTGCTGTGGCTTAAACTTAGTTTAGACTTGGTTTAAACCTAAATTAGCCAATCAAATGCCAGCCTGCTTTTAAATTTTTGGTATTTTTGGTTCAAAAAATAAGCTTTTGGTTTTTACTGGCATCACCTTCTGAGTTGACCTGTCAAACAAGGCAACTCCGTAAAAAGAAAAAGAAAAACACCACCAAATAAAAAGGAGAAAAGAAAACTCGGAAAGAATTCAACGGTTCGGAACAAAGCGCACAAGGATAGAATAAAAAGCATCTTTCCAAAAATTGGCGCGTTTAATATATTATTTTGAATTTATAAAAGGATCTTTGCAGCAGTGTGAGGATGCCTCGAGCAGTTAAAGCCAAAGCCGGTACAGCTGGTGCTGTTACAGGAGGGAAGGCGGCTGCTCCTAAACGCAATAAGTTATATGCCATGCCGGAGAAGATTGCTGAAGGTACAATTTTGACAGACTTATCCAAAGCACAGTGGTCTATTGGATCTTCGATCGGTACTGGTGGTTTTGGAGAAATTTATTCCGCTTGTCGCGTTGGCGAAAAAAGCTTTAACTATGTGGTTAAGTGCGTAAGTAACGCAGTGACTACATGACAAAATTTTAGAGAATATTAATATTTGTAAATATCTTATAGGAGCCACATGGTAATGGTCCATTATTTGTGGAAATGCATTTTTATATGCGCAATGCTAAACTAGAAGATATTAAAAAATTTCAGCGCGAACATGGTCTGAAATCACTCGGCATGCCGTACATGATTGGAAACGGGTCAGTTGACTTGAAAGGAATAAAACATCGCTTTATTGTTATGCCACGTTATGGTAGTGATATTGCGAAACACTTCTTAGCCAATGGACGACGTTTACCCGAGGGGACCATATACAGATTGGCATTGCAAATGTTAGATGTGTACGAGTTCATACATTCATGTGGCTACGTGCATGCTGACTTGAAAGCGGCTAACATCCTTTTAGGCTATGGTAAAGAAGGTAATAACCAAGCATACTTGGTTGATTATGGGCTAGCATCACATTATACGACAAAGGAATTTAAACCGGATCCAAAAAAAATGCACAATGGTACCATTGAGTATACATCTCGTGATGCTCATCTCGGTGTGGCTACGATGCGTGCAGACTTTGAAATTTTAGGATATAATATAATCGAATGGTCAGGCGTTCAATTGCCGTGGATAAAAAACAACTTACTTTCTGTACCAACTAAAGTACAAAAAGCCAAAAATGAGTTCATGGCAGACATAACTAGTAGCCTCAAGGCCATATACCCTAAAAGTGCTCCTGGTAAGAGAAACGATATACAGATTTATTACAAATTAATATATACTAAAACTTCTTTTCAGCTCCTATAGATGAGTATATGAAGTATGTAGCTAAAATGGAATATAATGAAAAGCCTGACTATGAAAAATGTCGCAAAATATTCGGCAATGCTTTAAAAACTATGAAAATTTCCAATACTGGGGAATTACAGTTCAACGTAAAGGATGATACTAAACATCCCACTCCTTCGACAAGCAAGGCACGTCCCAAAGTATCTGCTAAACGTCCAGCAAAACCGGATACATCTGTAGAATTGTGTGCAAGTGACGACGATGATGACGATGTAATATTTGAGGAAACCAAACCTGTTAAAAGAGTACCGCAAAAACCACTTAAAACGATTGCAAAGCGCTCACCGAAAACTGCAGCCAGCCCAAGAAAACATATATTGCAAACTATAAAATCCCCTACACGAAAAGCGACACCAACATTGCGTGGGTCACCCGAAACTATGGCTGAGGCGAAGACCATGTTTAAAGCAACTCCGACTCGAAAGCGGCGATCGTCGTCTTTCTCACCAGCAAAGGTTCTACGAAGTTCGCCTTTGCGAAAGAAAGCAAAAGCTGCGCCGCATGAAGCTGCCAATGGCAACAGCTCTAGTACCCCAAGCTCGAATACGAAAAGATCTACACCATTAGCTGCAAAAGCTAATATAAATTTCAGTCCAGCGATTTCGCTATCAACTTCGCGACCAGGAAAGACAATCGTTAACGACAATACTACACCAGTACCACGAACCGGTAAGACGTATGAATTTAATTTTGAATTAGATGTTAGTATGGACGCTAATGTTGTGGTCAACGTAAAACGAAAGAAGAAAGCACCAACAACTGGTGCCACTAGCAAAGATAGTGTTGGCCAAAGCAGTTCTCAGTCGATTCGTTCAAACGGGTATTCCACAAAGAAAAGTGACACCGCCGATGATGAAAAAAGTACACCCGTTACAAGAGTTAAGGTGAGAAAGATACCCAGCGATGATGCTTGCGATAGTCCACGTACCCCAGCGGTAACTGTTAAAAAATCAAGACGTGTGGTCTCATAAGAAACTTTTTTCACTGTTATACATAGATTTTGCATTTTTATTTTCATAAAAATTTAATACATTCATATTTTTTCTTAATTATATATGTATGTATGTAATAGCTTCTATACATTAATGGTTTGTTGAAACGTGCCACAGAATGAATAAGATGCTATTGGACATTATTTTGATGGCATGGATTGAAAACATAAAAAATTGTTGCTCTTTACATTGAATAAACTTTTGTACTAAATTAAATCGTTAATTTGTTGGCTCTAAACATAGAATAAATATTTTTAGTTGCATAACAATCAATATCTACTTGATTGAATTAGGTTTTGTAGCAAGTTGAAAATGATCTTTGGAAATTATTCCGTTTCAACATTGCCAAGGATTTGATTTGGATTATATCCTAAATATAAAACTACAAACCATTAGACTCTTTTATTCTAAACCGCACTAGAAGAAAACTGGTATCATCTTTATTTACTTAAAATATTACAAAACCAAAAAGCGAATTGAATTTATAACCAATTTTTGGCCGGTATATTCCAACGAAAAAAGGTAAAGATTATTTTGGTTTACGTCTGCTATCATGATGTTTGGATGACGATTTCGATGAAGACGATTTGCTGGAAGAAGACGAGTGTGAAGATGATTTTTTTGAAGAATGCGAGGAACTCTTCTCGCCTGCACTGACAACATTGAAGGTCGGATTAATAGCACTGCTGGACGAACCAGATTTAGAACTACTTGATGAAGGTCGCTCTTCTCTATGCGATCTAGAGCTTTTGTGGTGGTGATGTCTACTCGAAGAACTTGACGAAACTTGTACGGGCGCAGGTGCGGTTGTACTGGGTGCCTCTTGTTGTATAACTGCAAACGGAGATGATGAATTGGATGATGATGACGAACGTGACGATGTTGCCGATGACTTGGTTTTTGACACCAATGAAATTGGCTCTTCGATGACAACACCGGCCGCCTTACTGGTTGAAGGTTTATTAAGACAATTATCGCACTGCCAATTGTGCTCTTGGCCTTCAGATGCTTCTTCATCAGTAATTGGTGGTTTGTGGCATTCCTGATGATAAAGAGTTCCACAGTTAGAGCATTCAATTAAACGATTAGTAGCGGTGAAAACCATTTCACCGCACACGGCACAATTTAAATCTCCGAATTCCTTTAAATTCACATCTTCATCAACACCCGTAAGCAATGTGCTGCCAACGTGGGCACCATCATCCGAATCTATGATGGTGTCGGGTGAGTCGGAAATGGTTTTAGCAGGGGAACCTGTTAAATTAATCACTTCGTCGACTGTTGGGTCCTGCTCCATAGTTTGTTGTTGTTCCTGTGGCGGTGGCGGAGTTGCAGCGCGACCTGGGAAATTCGCTTCAAATTCTATTAGAGTCTTGCTCATGTTATTTGAAATCATAAGCTCTGGACCATAACGTTGCTTTATGGCTTCATCCAACATTATTCTCAGCTCCGCAGCTGAGTTTGGATTGGGTGAGTAGAGTAACCTAATTGCTTTGCGCAACATTTCCATTTCATTAGTATTTGTTGCCATTACTTATTGAGCTGCAAAAAAGTTTAAAGACTGTTGAAAACTTGGCAATTTAATATAAATAGTTAATGGAAATAGATACTCCTTAAATAATGCAGGCGATTAGAACAGCTGATTCAAAAGTTCATAAAACTGCAGGGTTGCAAAATTTCATCCCAAAAGTGCAATTTAGCATGAAGAAATAAAAATTTATTGTGAAATCGTACATTCAACATATCGCACACCGCCTTCAAAAGAGTCACAACTCAAAATACGTTCGTCAAAAAATGCGAAAAACGATTTCGTAGTACATGCTAATCATATGGGCAAGGGCGACTTTACCTTCGTTTTTTTTTTAACAAATTATAACAAAAATATGCTCCAGTTTTTGCTGAACAGTAAAAGCTTTGTGTACAATTTTAGCGCATAATTTCAAAAATGCCAAATTTTGAGTTGTGACTCTTTTGAAGACCGTGTGCGATATATGTGTATATGACCATATGTTTGTAAAAATTTAATACCATCAATAATAGTTATTACGTTAATCCCATGGTTCAAATATAAAATTATCAATTATTGAATCATGCGTTATTCCCACGGTTTATATTCTTTAGAAAAAAATTATTGAAAATTGATGGAAATTTAAGGGTATTTTTTTTTAAGTAACTGGCAATCCACAAATGTCGCTAATGTCAAATCTGTTTTCATCATCACTATGCCTTCATGGTGTTCGCGTGAATTTCCATTGATTTGGTTTATTTCGGCGAAGCAGCTGATTCTAGTAAAGTTAGAACAATTTATTAATTGACGCTAAAAAGCGTTAATCACCATTTGTAAAATCTATACATATGTACATTGTTATCATAAAATTTGATCGACTGTGATAAGGTGATGACATCTTCATACCTTGATTTGGCTCAGAACAATGCAGTAATCTATTCAAATCTAAAGGTTGATTTTAGTGACCAAAATTTCACAAAGGAATAAACCTCGCCTGCAAGGCGCCAGTCATATTGTAATAAAAGAATCGATGAGTTTCTAGTGTTAATAGCAAGTTTCATTAGAGACCCGAAACACATATGACTTTAGTGTGAAATAGTGGGTGAATTTCATAATTTAGCCGTCAAAACAAATAAGCCTTTATTAAGAAAACAAACAAAAAAAACGCAATGAATAAGAAGTTAATAACCACAGCGGTGCTAAGTTTATTTGTTATAGAAGCTTGTTGTGGCGAAGATAAGGATCCTTTGGTAAGTAAAAAATCATATTTTTTTGAAAACAAGCCATCTCGGTGAATAAATGGTGTTTTTGTCCACATATTCTATTTTGATCATTTTCTCGTTGTCTCCTTTATTGTCCTCCTTTGTCTTTTTAACGTTATTTATCTGCATGATGCCACCTTACAGTTTTTCTTTTTAATACTCAGGGTATTCATCTAAACGCTTAAATACCTGCTAAAACCAAGGCATATCGCCTTGGGTAAAGAGCGAAATACACAACCAAAGGCATATTATGCATTTTAAATTAGTTTTTATTCTATAATTCTGCAAGATATTTTAATTCTCTATCTTTTGATGTATTAACTATTGCAAAAAGTTAAGTAATAACGAAGATAGTTGCCAATTGATAGCACGTGTATTATTGCATCATGTAGCATAGGCACTTAGTGAGGGTTATAATAGGTTCATTCCTTATCTTTTTGGACTAAAATCTGAAAAGTGTCAAAATGCCAGAGCGTAAGCAGAATGCGCTCACTAAAAGAGAATAACAGGAAAAGTAAAGGAAGCAAAAAGCCAAATTGTTAGTCCAAAGAATGGCAACAAAAAAACTTACGTCAAATAAGAATGGAAATGTATGTACAAAACACATTCTCACAAGCACAAGCACAAGCACAATAAACACGTACTATATCGATTATTTTTTGCCTCCTTCAAATTTTCAAATCACTTCTTAGATTATTCTCACTTTCTGCGTATTCCATAATTTCCGTTAATTTAAATTCAGTTGAGTTTGACACTTTTCAAGATTTTGCCAGAAAAAATTCTTCTGACAAAA